TTATTTTCCATAGGTCAAGGTGGCCAGGTTGGAGATGAGTCACTCCAGCCCCTGCCCAGGACCATGGAGACATTCAGCATAGTGAGGGAGTGGAGAAAATGGGAAGGATGATCCCAGCTGAGTGCTGATGACTGTCATGTCCCCTGGCTCTCCTGTGACTGTGACCAGGATGGGGGTCCCATCCAACTCATCCAATTTAGCAGGGCAAGAGAAAAACAGGAGGCCAAGAGGACTGTGAGCTTTTTCTTTCCTCATCCCCTTCACCTCCCAGCTTTTGCTTACTGCTTTTTTAAGGGTTTTGATTTCAACTTTCTGTAGTTCCTTTTTCCAGGCTTTGCTTTCATGTTTACTTTCCCAGAAGCAGGACCTGTTTGCAGATTTCCCAGTCCTGGACTCACATGGGCTCAGGCTGATGGCATTCTCCTGCTGCGTCCTGGATTACCAACCCTTCTCCCCACTCCCTGCTGAAATTCAGTCAAACCCAGGGCTTTGCTGGAGCTTGGCCTGGCTGGACTGCCTTTGTGACTCTGCCTGGACAAGCAATAAAGGCTTGTGGTTTGGAGGGGCTGCCTGTCCCACTACAGCTCCTGTCTAGTCCCCTCATTGCTCTTCTGGGGTCACATGCCCTTGCAGGGAGCTAACTGTACCTTGCTGAGATGAGACATGAAGTGTTGCTGTGACCCCATGTCCCTCAGTACCTGGGTGAACACAGTGGTGCCTGACAGCCCTTTTTACCTCCAGGGCTGTGCTGGACAGCTCTTACATGAGTTTGGATGAGATGAGTGCTGGGGGATCCATAAAGGGTGACGCCCTTGAACACACATCTTGGGCAGGATTGTGTTCAGTGCCTATGCCTGTGTGCACCTATGTGTTCTCAGCTCCTTTGTGGCCTCTGTGCCAGGCCAAATCTGGCAGAAAAGGAAAGATCAGAGGTCACCACCACCAAGGCCATTGCAGGTTCTTTATTGGTGAGACACAGAACAGAGAGCCATGGGGTCAGTCTTGGCTCTGAGGACCCTTGCCCTTGAGTAGCAAAGGTGGAACCAGTCTCCACAGTGCAACAGCCTCTGCTGGAACCACATCCAGGATATCCAAGTTGAGCCACTATAACCTGGGTTTGCCATGGTGGAGTCAGACAGCTGAAGAGGGAGCCTCTCTAGAGCTGTCAGGGCTGTAGCACTTAGGTCAGCACCAGGAAGATGGGAGGAGTCATTTGGGGTTGGAAGGACCAGTTTAGCCCTCAGGACTGTGGATTGTCCCTCTCTTGGCTCTTGTTGGCCTTGGGCATCGTGCTTCTTCAAAAGCAGAACAGATAGCCTGTGCTCCTGAGCACTGTGGGTCTTCCAGTAGCTTGATGCTTCCCTGGCAAAACACAGTGTGTGTGTTCATGGAGCTACCTCACTTTTTCTGTGGCTGCCTGAAGGGACAAGGGAGCCTGGATGGGATTCTCTTCATTCCTGGCAAGGAAGTATAGGTCAAATCCTGATGCCTCTGCCCTGGTCTGCATACTGAGTCTGTGATTCCAGCTAAACTCCTGGGCAAATGCTGGGCAAAGGTTCCCACTTTGAAGCCTGACCACAATTTGACGACAGTCCAGCCTGTGCTCTCCATCTGCCTTGGTGTGGCTTTTCAGGGCAGTAAAGCAACTTGGGGCTGTGCACACCCCTTGCATTTCACCTGGTTTCCACTGTTACTGATGAAGGGCTGTTAAGAGAGTCAAAGTCCTGTCCAGAGATGGGCTGTGGTCATGCCTCTACTTGAAATTTCCATAGGTTTCAAATGAATTCAAATAACTGAGAGCTAGTTCGTAGCAGAGCCCATACTGCTCCTGTGGAAACAAGGATGAACATGAGAATCTGGTACACCAACAGCTGCAGTAGAATGTCAGACTTGGTTTCCAACAGCTTCCTGAGCAAGCCAAACACAGGTACAGCCCACTTTCCTTGCAGTGGGAGCCCAGCTTCCCCTGCTGAGGAATCACAGGTATGTGCTCCCTTAGCTGGAAGGATGGGCTACCCCAGCGCTGGAGCCAGCTGGTCCTGGGAGAAGAGCCAATCTCCACGGAACAAAGTGGCTGCTGCTCACTCCCATCTGGGTTGCTAACCCTATGATGTTCCCTAGTTCTCAGACGAGGTGGTGAAGTGAGTGCAGGACAGGCACCTGAGCACCTACCAGTGCAGCCTGCTGCCGAACAGGCCAGGTGGACCAGAAAGGGGCCACTCATCATGCAGGATGCTTTGGTGCCTGTTTTGTTCTACAGAACCTGCTCCCGATTGAGTAGGTATGTCCCAGTGGCAGAGGCTTTCAGAGGTCTCATCTACCCCTGCTGGCCACAGGATGATCTAAGCACAGGGGGGCTAGGGCAGGGACAGGTCAGGATGCGACTTGGCTTGGTGTTGCCATCCCAGCTGGGTTTGAAGTCTGAACCTACCACATCTTTGATGAGCTGTCTCCGCCGCCTCTTCAGTGTCCTCACAGCCTGGGATACATCCACCATCCCCTCGCTTTGGATCTGCTCACACAGGAAACTAGCAGCACAGAAGATCCCGCTCCGGCTGGCTCCATCCCTGCAGAGGAGAGCAAGGAGAGAGTCACTAGCTCTGGGATCACCTGACAGGGCTGAGCCTCAAGGGTGTCCCACTAGACACGGAGGCTCTCAGGATGATCTTGTCCACAGATCCTGCACACAGTCAGGCTCCACAGGGAAGCCTTACTCCCTGAACACAGCTGAATTCACGTCCATTCATCCACCCAAGATGGAGTTGTGGCCCAAGTTCACTGACACAGCCTAGGCTGAGTCAGTTCTGTGCCATGGCTGCTCCTCCAAGAGACATCACTCACCAGCAGCTGACAAGGATATGTTTATCTTGGCTCTGCCGATGGTGTGTCTCTACTTTCCCCAGCAAGCTGATGATGGTGGCAGGGTGTGGGGGAAGACGCTGCTGCATGGGCCAGTCCTTCAGCTGCCATAACTGGACTTCCAGTGCAGACTTCTTGGGCTAGTGGGGAACAGAGACAGTGGGTTGGGCAGAGAAGAAACCCATCGACTACATGGAGTGAAGAGACAGTGCATGTCAGTCCTGGCTCAGCCATGCACACTGGATCAAGAGAGCAGCTCCACAGTGGGGTAGCCCAGCCCCAAACTTTACCTTTCTCATTGTGCTCTGAGACTGACACATGGACAGAGAATAAAGGAAGAGCTGAGCACCAGGTGCAGCTTAAACTGACACTAGTCCAGTAGCAGCAATAGCTGTCCCCTTCCATGAACCACTGAGATGCACAAACTCCATCCATAGGTGCTGTCCTCCAAGCTGGAAATGCATGCAAAGGTACCTCTGCCTGCAGCCTTGTCTTCTTGGGTTAACCTCTCTCCCAAGGAGAAAGACCCTGCTCTGGCCAGTGACATTCCAGGACTCCACCAGATCTCTCTGCCCAGTGTGGCCTCCTCCTTCTCTAGCTGACTTTGACCCCAAATCTAAGCTCGTTGACATTGGAGCCTAGCTGGTGCTCCCAGCTTGTGTAAAGGCTATTCTCAAAGCACTTTGTCATCTCTGAGCAAAGAACCCACCTGCTGTCTGTTGGTGAGGGCAAGTGTCCAGGCCATGAATCCAGCTCCAGGCTCCTCTGAGATCAGCTGGACATGGAAACGGCCATAATCATCTTCGCCCTGGGTGGGCCAGAAGTCCACATATGTCTGAGGGAGAGGAAGACACATGCATGATCACACACATTCCCCAACCTGCATGTGTGGCAGGGCTTGGCACCTCGCATGGGAGGGCTCACACCAGGCCCTTGCCCATAAGCCACGTACACATGGCTGTGCCAGATGTTTGCTGGGGACCTAATGCAGTGCTGCTGACAGAAAAATGACACTCCTGCAGAGAGGACACCTGGGCAGGAGTAAGCATAACCTGAGGGATGCTCCCTGGTGTAAGGCTGAGGACAGACCATTGCTGTAGTGCCATAGTGCTGGGACTGTCCTTAAGGTTCTTGCAGGTAGAGCCCACAAGCTTGCAGGCTCCCATGCTAAGAGCCATGCAGGGTCAAAGGTAGAAATCACACTTCTTGGCCCCTCAGGGAATCAGGAGAGGGGAGGGCTGCTCTTGGGCTGCTGACCTTGTCCAGCTCCTGGAGTTGGTTCAGTACAACCACTGATGTGCAGGTGTAATCCCAGACCAGAGCCCAGAAATCCACCAGTGTGGTGGGGAAAGGCAGCTGGGTTATGATGAGTCTGTCCTCCTCGGTGTACGTCTGCAAAACACGCCGCGGTGTAAGCAGGTGGAAAAGTCACACAATCCACTCCCCAAAAGCCCTTGCAACACTAGGAATGGCTCCCTTGCCTCCCTGCAGAGATGGAGGAGACACAGGCCACCCCAGCCCTGCTCAGAACAGCTCAGGTTTGTGCCCTGCCACGCCTTCGCCCCCGGGCTCAGCTCCCAGTGGGCAGTGACCAGCAGCTGTGCGGCAGCCTGCTGAGCTGCCCGTGCAGGCAGGGCTCAGCTGATCACGGGGGCCATCTCCTGGCAGCAGGGCCAGCAGTCACTGCTAAGAAGCCCAAGGGCTGGGACACTTCAGACTAGGGTGGCATGCTCTACCCTTGCCTTGAGCAGGGGTGTGCGGGGCATCTCTGCTGCTCTCAGCAGCTCCCACCCTCCGCTGGGGCTGGAGCCTTACGCTGGCAAACACGGCATTGATGTAACCTGGCGAGGCGTCTGCATTCAGAGAGGACATCAGGATGGGCCGGCAGGAATCCGCTGCAGAGGCAAAGGGCAGAGAGAGAAGTGATGGGTCTTCCTCCCCCTACACAGAGGCAGAGGGCTTTCCCTGCAAGTGGTGTGGTCAGCGTGGCTCCCTGCAGCATGGGCTGGAGAGTCATGGATGAGCAGGCACCACCAGCCTCATGACCATGACAGCTTAGGGCACCCTGACAGGGGATGTCCAAAACACCATGGCTAGAAGCACAGGTGGTTCACTCTCCTCATGATTCCCTGAAAGCTCATTTGGACTTATCCACTGGGAAAGATTAGATCAGGGACTTGTTTATCCCTGGTGTACCCCATGAACACCTGCCTCCATCAAGCCCAGAAAGGAATCAGGGACCAGTCCAATGTGTATTTATTATCAACCAGAAAATGATGACTGGCCTTTGAACACAACCTGCCAGTGGCGTGCTGCTGGGGAGGGAAGAAGCAGGACAGCATAATTCCCTGTATACTGCTATCAGGTACTGGGTTTTAAAGCAAGGAACTGCCCAGCCCTGACATCTTTACCTGGCAGGATTCCTGGCTTGCGGTTCTTGGGTTTGTTGCTGGGTTTCTCTGCTTCTCGGCATGGCAGGAGCTGGAACAACTCAGAAAACTTCTGCAGGGCCTGTGGAGATGATTCAGCCAAGTAAGTCCTACCTGTCAGCTATGCCCCTCCTTCAGCCACTCCAGAGAAATACTCCCCCATCTCCATCCCACAGCTGGGGAGGGGAGCTGTGGTGGCAGGGGACAGTGGCATCATAGACCAGTCTCCACAGCACCAGTGCACTAAATCCTGGTGGTACCTTGAACTCCTTTTCCAGGACACTATTGTGCCTTGAGGTCTCCGCTTTTTGAAGGGAGTGGACAAGGGTGGCGATGCTCTCCACTGGGACCCCGGTGTTGCCACAGAGCAAGCCTTCGAGCAGCGCCTCGTACAGAAAGGTGTACTGCTCCTGCATGAGGACACAGGTCAGCTGCACCATCTAGAGCAGTTTCATGAGGAATCCTTGAACTCCAGACCCTCATTGGCATCAGTCTGTGCCAGGAATGAGCCCAGTTCATCCTTCACCTTCCTGCTGTGGAGCCCTGAGGCCAGACACCTCTCAGTGCAGGCAGCTCTGTTTTGGAAACAGCCAGCAACTCCAGCAACCCAGACAAGACCATCTTACTGTGGTTTAACACTCCCTCTCAGACCAGACCCCTGCTCCAGGGAAGGAAACACAGATACCTGTGGACTAGTTAGTCCTTGTACAAGCAGCTGGCTGGTCCAGCCCAAACTAGTCTTTTCCAAAGGGACCCAGCACTGAGCAGAGCATGGGGACATAGTCTCTACGCCAGGACGCTGCTGCCCAGGAGATGCCATGAGGGCAGACAGCCTGAAAGCCTGAAGAAAAGTAGATTCTCATTCATGATCCTTGTCTACAAGACAACCCTTCTATAGCAGGGTTACTGGTGCATATGAATGCTGCTGGCATCTCAGAGGGTCTCAGGGGAACATGGATCCTGACTAGGTTTAGTCACAGCATTGAAAACAAGATCCTGCAGTCTCCATTACCTGGCAACTCCAGTCCCTGTGACTAGACCGTGAATGGCATGGCCAGTGTGGCTCTGCGTGCCACATCCGCGGGAAGGGTGGGAAGCAGATCTGCAGCCCAAGGTGTGCAGGGGGCAGGTAACTCCTCACCTTGGTCTGCACCATGCCGACCCGCTGCTCCCGCAGCTGCTGCACACAGTGAAACACATCCACCTTCCCCTCAGCCTTCCCCATCTTCAAGAGGTAATCCAGGGCAATGAAGGTACCTGTGCGGCCAATCCCTGCACTGAAGACACAGAAAACTGGGTGTCAATGCTGCCCTTGTCAGCTATGCCCCAGCACCCAAGCACTCCCAGCCCAGTACCTGCAGTGCACCAGCATGGGTCCAGCAGGTGCTTCCAACACCCTTTTGTTCACCACCTCCACTAAGCACAAGAGCTGGGAAGGATTTCTGGGGACTCCATGGTCTGGCCACCGCAGGTAGTGAAACTGCTCCACCACTCTTGGGAGAGCACAGCCTGCCTGCAAAGAGAGAGGCATGGCTGGCAATAGGGACTAGGGACTAACCAGAAAACTTGTGTGAAGTGAATACATGCCAACAAGTAGGGAGCAGTGGAGAAAAGCACTTCAGATGAGCACCAACACACACCCACACCACAATGACTGCTCTACTGTAGCTCCTCAAACTACAAAGGGCAGATTCACTCATCACACAGCCACAGAATAAACTTTTTTCTCTGCTTCTCCATGCGGTGAACAATGAACGCAGAGCAGAGAATTCAGCTTGTTCCCCAGAGGAAAATTGTGAAAAAAAATATAAAAAACACAGTTTAGAATGTTTCCATAGTCATTGGAAAGCCTTGGCTTTCCAAAAAAAGGTATTCTTGAAGGCTGGTATTACACTAATGTGAATGTAGTCAATTTTCTTACCAGCCCGTCACGTATTTTTCCCTAAACATCACATTCACTTGGCCTGAACTAATGAACTGATGTCTTATCATCAGGCGCTCTTGGAGCTTTATCTTTCAGCTACATTTTGCTCTGGGCAAGACAAGAAAAGACTAGAATATGCACAACTCCGACTTCTTTGTATTGTACCTGTTTTCTTCTCCCTGCAGCTCCCTCAGCTTCTGCATTTTATCTGAGGTGTAATTTCAGCAGAAGTACCCATCTTGAGAAAGGTTATTATGTGGGTTATCCTACACTGTAAACTATCTGTTCAGGTGTTTAGGAGCTGCAAGTGACCAAGGAGCCTCAGGGTGGACCCTCTGCATATTGGTCCATGTGAGCTGCGGGCACCCATCTCATCATCCTGGATGTACTGAGATGCTATTTTATACCCTTTAACTGCTTTTAATATGCTTTGTAATCAACTCATCCAAGTGCTCAAGTATCCACAATCTGCCCCTGTGCATCATCAGTCCAGACTCAGCTAGGGTGACCACTGAAGCTGAACAATTGCCTTTTCCTGGCACAGAAACCTGGGGCTGCTGCCCTGGCATGGCATCCCATGATAGAAATGCTGACCTTCTCATGCTGGACACCAGGTAGGGCTCTCCACAGTCTTCTTGGCTAACATCTCCCACCAGGTGCTGAAACCCAAAAGCATCCTGCATTCCCACCTCAGCTACACGCCAAGCTTACCTTCTGCAGGCAGAAGATGCGTGTGACAAGGCCTGTGGTAGTCCTGCTGTTGTTGAGTGTCACAGTAAAGTCCCCGTAGACCTGCTCCTGCTCTGGCCAATACTGCTCGCACTTGATCTGTCAACAGCAGTGAGACCACTGAGAACCAGCTCAAGAGAGGAGCACTACAAGCCAGCAGTGGTGTGGAGCTGCTCTCTGCCCTCAGAGAACTGCACTGGGAGCACAGCAAAGCAAGTGAGGAAGGCTGTGGTGATGCAGAAGCTGAATATGGGCTGAGATGGTTTCTCTACCTTGTTCTGTTCCACTAAGCCTGTCAGCATCACAATGACTGAGGTCTTCTCCTGCCAGATCATCTGCCAGAAATCCACCACCGTCTCAGCCAAGGGGCCTTGGGAAGGAAGGAGAGAGCTCTGTGTTAGTCTCCAAGCTGTGGAAGCTTCCAGGAACAACTCAGGTGTTGCCAGGATTTCCTCAGCCCAGAGACAGGCACAGCTAAGGGCACAGTAGCACCTGGCAGGGGTGCTGGGCACATCAGCTTCATCACCATGTTAGAAATTGGGACAAGGAGGAAGGAGAGTAGGTAAGCCCAGGATGCATCATTCTCTACTGCTTCAGGGGCTTTCCCGTCCAGACCCTCAAGGTGACCATGAACTACTCCTACATTTTTGGTCCTACTTCCTGAAAAGCATTTCTACACTCTACAGGGAGCCTGAGACCTCCTAATTGCATGCTGCACAGAGCAGACTAACCCATCCTGGCTTTACGCTGCTGGAAGAAGACCATATCTGAGTGCGCTGAGTGCAGACATGTCAAACATTTCCACGATTGTCCTTGCCATGCCAGCTGCTAAAGTGATCAAACCAGGCTTGTGGGTGGAAGGACTATGTCCTCAGACTGGACTGTGCAAACACCAGCTCCAGCTGCTGCCTTCCATGTCCTGAAGAGGCTGTAAACACTGTCCAGGACAGAGATACTGGATATACAGGGCCTCGGACTGAGCCATTCACAACTCCTAGTCTGCTCTTCCAGTTCCCTATTTTCCAGACTGCTCAGGGGGGCAACTGGTATCTTCTGAGGGTGAGGTCTGGGAGCACCTACCTTGAGCTGCAATGAAGAACCGTGGACTCCGGTAGCTCTGTAGAAAAGAGATTCATACAGCTCTGATCATGTGGGTTAAATGAAGCAAAGGATCCATTTCCACAGGCACCAGAGCCCTCAGCACAGTGTGTCCCACAGCACCACTCCAGGCCAGCACAGAGTGTGGGTATCCAGGGGGTGCATCTCTGCTCCTGTCCCCTCACACAGCTCCCTTTTTATTAGAGATGAGAATTGCACACAAACCCAGAGCAGTCCAGGCAGCTCAGACAGGATGCAAGGAAAGTGACATCCCAAGACCTTGCCAGTACTTGAGGACAGCAAGGGCCAGACCTCAGGGCCACCCATGTGGGCAGGACCGTCCTCACCCAGCACAACCAGGCACCTTTCCTACCCTCTCACAGACAGCAGTTCCTTGCTACCTACATCCACGTAGCTAGCATTGATGTAACCGTTCCCCATGTTGGATGGTTGCAGCACCACACGGCAGTGATCGTCTGAAAGAAAGGGAGGTAGGCTGATGATTTGGGGCAGAAACAAAGATTAAGGAAGAGAATATAGTTTAGGAATGTCCAGGACTGTTTGCTGCCTCCTCAGCAGCACTCCAGTCCTTGGGACATGTTTGGGTGTAAAGAACAGATGATGAGATGAAAGGTGACATGGCACAGCAGGAAATGCAATAGGGTTTTAGGGAAGAATTTTTATGAAATGGCAAAATGTCCACACCATGTGGAGCCTAGAGGAGCTTTAAGGTTTGAAAGAAATTCAGTCACTTCTTCCACTTGCCCACATATACCTGCCTCTGGGTGGGACACAGCAGTATCCAACAATGACTAATGTCAGGATCAGGAATGCAATGATGAATGAAAAATTTTTCAGGAGGATTTGAGGAGCAGAACAAGGATTCTCAAACTGGATATAAAACAGTGGGGCCAGAAATCCCTCTGGGTTTCAGTGGCCACAGAGGATGAGATGAAGATCTCAGTATTTCTGAAGTGCTGGAGGGACACCTACACCAGTCCAGCACCCTGCACTGCCCAAACACCTCCAAGGGTGCCAACCCATGGAGAGCTCTGCTTACATGGGATAATGCTTCTGTAGCGGTTCTTGCTGTGATTACATAGCTCCTGCCCAGCATCACAGGGGTGCAACAAAGTGGAGGACAGTTGCTGCAGAGGAAGAAGACAAGTCCACTTGGCATTGGGATGTGTTCTGGGGTTAGCCAAGGCCAACTGCATCACACACCCAGGGAAAGGGTAAGGGCAGGGTGGACTGTGCAGCCAGGTAGAAAAGCATAGCTAAACCAGACCTGATACTCTCTAAGATGCCCGGCAGCATGCCTGTCAACTGATTGATCATCTGTCTGCTCTGCTAATATTTCTTCCCTCTTAAACCTCTTCAGAGCATCCAGGAGTTCCTCCACTGGGATCAGTGTGTTCAGCTCGCACACACCTACAGAGACCACAAGGACAGGAGTTTAGCATCTACCTGATGTTAAACTGGCTGGCCCTGGAGCTCTGAAGCTGGGACTGAGCCAGCATTGCAGTGGCCTGGACCCCATCAAGCCCTACTTTGTCCCTCCCCACACAGGTCCCTTCTCCTGGGAGGTGTCCCTTTCCCCATGCCAGCCACCTCTGATCCCCTTGTTCATGTAAGGACCTTATAGAGCCTGAAATCATCCTGCCTATACTTGTAACAGACAGCCTGTCCAGACAAGGCATGCAGGGCCTTTGCTTATACTGTACCTCCATCATATCTTGTCAGGGGGATGTTGTTCTCTGAGGTTTTTGAACTGTTGTGCATTAGCCTGCAAAACAGCAAGTCAGGCCCATAGATCATCAGAACAGAGACAGGAGAGGCTGAGGCTGTTGCCCATATAACAATCCTGTCTCTTGCTTTGCTTCATCTCTGGGTCCTCTTGGACACTCCCTGCCAGTGCAAGGTGCTGTATGCCTAACAAGCAGCAGGAGAGGTGAGGTACATACTGACCTGAAGAGCATGAAGAGCAGCAAAATTCCGAGTGCCAGGAGTGCAGCAACCAAAGCTACAACCATAACCACGGGCAGCCTGTCCAGCAGAG